CACCATGGAACGTGAAACAGAAGCGATCGAAAAGGTTCAGAAAAGGGCAACAAAAATGATAAAAGACTGTGAGGGAATGAAATATGAGAACCGATTAAGATTTTTACAACTGCCAACACTAAAATACAGACGAATAAGAGGTGATTAGATAACGATGTTTAACATGTTGAATGAAAAGGACCAACGAAGCTTGCCGAAAATATTGAGAGCCACCAGATAACAGCATTGACATTCCATACGAACTTAAGAAAAAATTATTTTAATAGAACTATTAATATTTGGAATAATTTGAATGATGATGTTGTTAATTGCAGTGATTTGAATGAGTTTAAAAAAAAGTTGGATGATTTTTTTATGAATGCTAAATTTAAATACGATTGGAGAGCGGAGTTGAAGGATGACTATTCGTGAATGCTGTTTATAGATTTTGGATGATGGTATAAATGTTTGTTTTGACACTATTTTCTTTAAGAGAGGACGATATATAGAATGGTTGAAATTGGAATTTTTTTGAAGAAATGTTTGCATACATATATATAAAGAATAGGTAGTTGAATTAATAATAAAAGTTATTTTCTTATATTTTTGTTTATATTTTTGTTTATATTTTTTTTATGTTTGATCTTTATGTATGAACAGAACATATTAACATATATTCATGTACCTTGTTTATGTGTTAAAATTTTATAGTTAATTTTGTGTCGCGGGCATAGGGACATTTTGTCTTCGCCCATGTTTTTTCTCATAATATTAATAATAATAATAATAATAATAATAATAATAATTAATAAAGAAGATAGTAAAATTAATATATATAATCAATATATATAAGACTCAGAAATGCAATTATTGATGAAAATTCAAAAATTCAATTCAATTTTATTTCAACTAATCCAAAAAAAGAAATGATTCTGAAACCTAAACAGAAAACAAATTCTTGTATACTATAACATCGTCTGTCATAATTGTATAAAATGAGTAACTTATTTATATATATATAAATTACAATTTAAATAAAATACAATTTGTCAACTACAGACCAATTCCAATACTCCCTGTTTTCTCCAAGATTTTTGAAAAATTAATTTTTCTAAGGTTTTGGGATTATTTGAAAGAATTCAATGTAATTAATAAAAATCAATTTAGATTTGTCCCCAAAGCATCAACTGAACTGGCAATTGCTGAACTCTATGGTTTCTTAATTAAGGGCTTTGAATCCAAACAATTTACATTGGGCATTTTTGTGGATTTAAGGAAAGCTTTCGATGACATTGACCACGAAATTTTGCCATCCAAGCTGTCTGTATATGGATGTCGTGTTATCACACTAGCTTGGTTTAGGTCTTATTTAGCAGATCGTAAACAATATGTATCTATTGACAACGTGGAATCTTCATTAAGCAATATTCGTACTGGAGTCCCTCACGGGTCAATATTAGGCCCGTTGCTATTCATCCTGTTTATAAATGATATCTTTTCAGTTTCTAGCCATAGTAATTCTTTTTGCAGATGATACCAATATATTTTTGACAGACAGTAATCCTGTTAATTTGTTTCGTCTCATGAATGAGCAATTGGATAGATACTATGATTTTTTTAGAAATAATAAATTACTTTTAAATCTGAAAAAATCTTGTTACATTTTGTTTGGCCCTAAAATAAAAACCAACAATGTCATCATGTTTAAAACCTATCTATAAAAATTGGTGATGTAATCCTACCACGTACTCATGCAATAAAATTTTTGGGTATCATGTTACAGAGTGATTTGAAATGGTCGAAACATATTGAAATGAACCTAGCAAAATTATATAGAGTAAATGGAATAATATATAGAGCACGAAATAAACTAACGTTACCAGTTATGATAACATTGTACTATTCCCTCTTTTTTCCATATCTAACCTATGGGAATATTTTTTGGGGGAGCACGGCCAAATATTTAATTAACAAACTATCTGTTGCCCAAAAAAGTTCTTACGTACATGTTTTTCACTATCTAAATTAGACCACACCAAGCCAATATATACCTTGTACAAAATTCTTAATATAGAGCAACTAAATATCTATCAAACACTAATATTTTTCTACAAAGTTTTTATATGGAAAACTACCAACATTTCAATACATTTGAATTAATTACAACTAATAGTCGACATAATGGCAAGTTTAAATTATTGAAAAGTAGGACAGTAACTAATGACAGGCATTGGGCAGTCTGTGGTATAAAATTATGAAATGAGCTGCCTTTAGATGAAGTGAATATAGCCAATATAAGGTCATTCAAGTTTTCACTCAAGGAAATTGTTTTTAAAATGGTTTGATTAATTTTATTTTTTCACATTATACTGTGCTGTATGAATATCTGTTTATTTTATATATGGAAATCTTCGTAACAATTTTTATTAAGTTTATTTTATGTATTTCTGTTTGACTTAATTTGTGCAATTTTAGTTAAGGTGATCTGCACAAGCTCGCTTATTTGATCTCCTGGCTTTTGCTAAATAGAAGGATTAAAAAAAATATAGAAGGTCTATCCTTTCGAGGTTGATTGGTGATTGAATGCTGAAAACGAGACAATAAGAACATCACATGTTTGTTGGTGATTGAATGTTGAAAAAGAAAAATACTCTCATCGAAGGTTACACCGTTTTAATCATTTTAACGTTTAAAATCGCAGCATGTTCCGCCTTAGTTAGTTTCCTGTTTAGTTTTTCGATTTTTCTAACGGTTGATCGTAAATCATTCCCACGTTTCTTGAGTTCAAAACCAAAATTTTTATTTATTTTAAGCATCATAGAACAAAAAAACTTTTTTTGGTATTCTTATTGATACGTTGTGTACATGGCCAGATGCTCAAATGCAAGATAATTTTAAAAAAGAGAAATCATTTTTATCAATTATATATATATATATATATATATATATATATATTGTTATAATATATATACATATATGTGTGTGTGTGTTTGTGTATGTGATATGCATAGACAAGATATTAAACAGTATTTAGTAATAATTAATACTTATTTGATTTAAGTTGAAAACAACCTTCTGATCGCATCGACAGCTAAAGACTTGACAATTAATTTTGCTGTTTTTGTATCCCCTTTGGCATTATTATTGATAAGTGAAATCAATTTGATTTTTTTTTTGTAATTCAAGCTGCCAACCCAAATAGACTCCTATGAAAGGTAATAAAAATTACTTCCAACGTCCAACATTAATATATCGTCAGTTTTTAATAAAAAAAATAACAATAAATATATGTAACCTGATTTTGTACCCAATAAATATTTCTGTTCATATAATCCACTGAAACGCTGGTGCATCTACTTAAGTTTTCAAAAATGAAGTCTTTATGCCTTGGATGTGATATTATTCAAGTTTTCACAAGGTAAAAACATAATATAAAAAATATTTTGTTAAATATTATATATGCTGGCTTAGTATAAATTATTCACTGAAAAAAACAAAAATTATAAAACATGTATTTGAAGGAATAAAGCAAAAGTTTTTGAAGTCTTCCAACTTGTTTATCCGATAAATGTCAAAGTTAAATTTTATGTGGCGCAATTTGTCGGTTTAATAATAATGTAAACATTTTTATTAAGGGAAATCAACGACAAAGAATCGGTATAGTTATTGTTAAAAATAATTAGTTATATAATAAAAATCTAACTGCTCGTTGTCTATGACAACTGCAAATAGGTGGCATATTTAAAACGGTTATAAAGTGTTTCTGCGCAATAGTTAGTGTATGACGACTTAATAGCAGAAATAATTAATTTTAATAAAAGAATTCGGCCATAAAATTTTAAATGCCAATAAATTAAAATATTAAAAATGCTAATTGGAGTAATTTAAAATGTATTCAAAATAATTGAACAATTTTTAACATCGGGGTTTAGACATGAAATTAAATAATTAATTTATTTCGATTGTTTGAAGTTTTCAGATTGAATTAAATTTGTTTTGTGACCCAGGCTCTTTGCTAATTTTTAATTTCTGCTTCAATCCGTTAATGAAAATTCTCAATGCGGAGAAACATGCCAATTGTGGCTCGACAAAAGGTTAGAGATGACTCAGACATTATTTCCTACAGTTTTGACATTGCGCAAAAGTTAATAGATTTGCACTTTGAGTGGTATTGACATGTGTAACTCCTTTGGTATAAGGAAAAAAAAGGCAGTTTCTTCCAATGTCATAATGTCCAAAATGTTGAAATAAATGTCAAAAATATGGCTAACCCAAACGTTGAAATTGATAAAAGTTTTGTATTTTTAAACAAATTGTATGTGTATTTAGACAGATGAGTGAGACGACAAAAGAGCCAAAGATGCAATTAGATCTAAATTAATTAATCTCCTAGAAACCACCACTGCTCTAAACATTTCATCTCAACAAAAACTTTAAATTTTGAGGTGGTTCACCCCGACTCATGTACAATTTGAATTGCGCAATTGCAACTTCTCTTCAACTTTGGTATTGTCAAATCTGGATAGTTTAATTGTTAAGTGTCAAGTTATGGCTAGCTACGCCTCCTATTAGTGGCTGTATATCCGAAGTGCTCTCTTTCTCTCTACCGGCCAATTTTTGTGGGCACAACATCATCTCATTAAAAGACATGATGGAAAAAACAAGTGAAAAATAGAAATTGCCATAATTATTAACTCTTTCAAAATGTCTCCTATTGGTTTATATAAAAATGTTAACCTAACTAAGTTCAAAAAAACTAGTTAACGCTGTAACGTCATATATCATTTATTGTGACAGAAATTCTGTATAACTAGTTAAAATATACTTTTATTTTCGTACACCTCATAATAACCGAGAGCATGAAAGGCTCGTACATTACATTTTCATTTATTAGTTCTTTTATAATGATTTGATTTATTTAATTTTATTATTTTGAATAGTTTTTATTCATTTTGGATTTTTAAAATAAAAGAGTTTGCATTGCTATTACTATTATTATTTTTATTCTATTTAAAATTATCTTACTTGGTTAATGTTTCCATGTGAATGAGACCGATTACGTCATTTCCGTGTTCATCGGCGTAGGAAAGTTCATTGCCATTATTGTCATTGTTGATGTTGTAATCATTTATTTCGTAATGGATTAATTTATTTTTATTTGAATTATCGTTTTCTAGGCGATCGGAGAAAAAAACAGAAAATGTAATAGGGTCGAAGGACAAAGATGTTAACCAGTTGAACTCTAATTCCTCGCAAATTTCTGCTCTGTTATCCATTAACCGAGTCAATGTTTTTTTGCTTCCCAAATAAACGATGGGAGCATGAACATCAGCTGAAACAATTGACTAATTTTAAAAATTTAAATAAATTTATAAGACATGCTTTACATAGCATATGTTCAATAATTTAATCAAAGAAACAATATTTAGGATAGTTCAGATCCGTTTATAAATGTTATTAAGTAACATTTTAAGGCGCTACATTGTTGCTTTTATGTTGTCCAACCCTGTATTAACGAACAAATGTTTTTTTGAAAATAAATAATTATGAAAGAAAGATTTTTAAGATAGATGGCATTTCGTTTGAAATACAAATTTGAAATTTTGATATGAAATTTGATAAAGATGATGAAGTGCATTGTAAGCATTCATGACAGGATGTAAAAGTGCTTTAACTTATTTGGCTGCTACTTCTAAGAAACTCAAAAACTAACATACAACTTGCTCTCACTTATGCAGTTACGTAAGTAAGTTGCAAACCTTGCAAAACAAAAGTTAGATTGTAACCAAGTAAGGAACTATCGTAGTTAGATTGTAACCAAGTAAGAAATAACCCTGTGCTTTTAATAAAAATATGTGCAAAACAGACATTAACGATTAAACATAATTTTAATTATAATATTTTTATATGTTACGGGTTTTTCTTCTGTAAATTTCAATTATTTAAAAACTTATTCAAAAAATATTGATGCTATGATTTGAAACGGAGTTATTTTTATTTAAGCAAACACATTGCAGATAAAACAGAAATGCAATCTGTTTAGATGACTTATAAATTAATATAATTTCACAATTTTATATATTAAAAAATTACCTGTACAACTTCTTTTATCTTCCAATAACTTTCTTCCAGATCTGCATGTACATTCAAAATGATTTTCGTTGGATATTTTACAAATATCGCTACACACTGGAGTCAATTGACCATTATGTCGATAGAAACATGGAGAATCATCTAAATTAATAAAATCATTTCGCTATTTGTTAAAATATATCACTTGATATATCTTTAAATCAAATTTTAACGTTGATTAAGTAATTGAAAACACCAGTGAAGATAATCAAGACTTCACAACTTTTTAATTATTTGTTAATATGCTAATGACCTTTTATACATAAGTAATCGTATCGCAATAGAAATCCTTGAGGACACAAACAAGAACGTCTGCCCATCAAATTGATCACACATATGTCACTACATAACGGTTTTGTTGACGTACAAATGCTCTTAATGTTATCTGATTGATAATAAGTTTCAAATTTGACATATAGATTTTGTTATAGTAACTACTATTTCAATAATATATTTTTTTTTTAAAATGTGCGTTAAGTATTGATTTGAAAATGTAACTTAATTCAGTAAACCATCATCGGCAGAAATAAAATTTAAAATACCTTTATTAAGCCCATCGGCGGTAACCATGGTAAAATACTTAGTCCCATTTTCAAGTGAAATGTTTTTGACAGAAAAGTCGTCTGGCATGTAATAAAGTTTGTGATCTTCGTTGATCCATGTGAGTTGGTTGCGCATGTAAGAAATTGCGTGTGCACGTAAATCCTCTCTACAACATTTAATGTTAAATAAAGAATTTCTTTGATCGTCTAGTTGTTCAAAAAGTAAAATGCCGTGGTGATTTGAAAAGTTCAACATAAAAATATAAATTTACACAAGTAAAAAAACAGTCATCATCATTGATCTACCAACATTCAATTGTTGAAACCCAGTAGACTCAGATGTCAAATATTATATAACGAACTTAATGAGAATTTTTGTTGAATTGAAAGTGTTGAGAAGGGTATGCTGCAGGCATATTTTTGACAATAGGGAAACGATCATTACAACAGTAATCTATTGAAACGAATGCAAAAAGACAAAAAACTTAACACTGAACACGTTGGCAATGTTTATTCAAACTTCTCAAAGTTTGATGATATTTATAAATGCCAAGAATGTAACCTCCAATATTGTTTGTTTATTGAACAAATAAAATTGTTTGACTAACTTATAGCCACGCACGTGCCGTATTATTCCTGTCCAAATTTTGTTTACATCACCGCCGGCAGGCATCATTTTATCATCGTTATCGTCATTACTGTACTTATTATTTTCGTATGTTGAACTCTCAATTTTTCCACTAAATATTTTCCCACTGACATCTTCAATAAAGCTCATTTTTTCATTGTTAGTGTTAATAGCAATTCTACTGATACAATATCTTTTATTTAGATATACTTGGAATGATTCTAATGAATTCAAGCAGTTCATGCCCGACAAATCGCATGAGATTAATCCGTTTTGGGATGGTGAGAATGGGTCCATATTACATTGGGAATAAAACATTCGTCTGTTTGGTTTAAATATTTACAAAATGATTAATATTCAAATTAATGTAACAATCGTCAAGAGTTGTTACAAAAAACAGTAATACATATTATTTTTTAAAATTGAGTTATTAAATTAACGGCAATGAAGAACCTTTTGACTGGATCGACGACCAAAGAAGTCAAGGCCATTTTATATTTTTTCATCTTTATTGCAGATTTACTATTGTTCAAGGAGATGAGTTTAATTTTTTTTCCATTATTCAAATTTCCAATCCAGATGGAGTCCTAAAAATATTTTTTAAACAAATCAGTAACCAATTTTGAAAACGTATGGCGAAAGTTGAAAATTACGTTCATTATTATATTAAATTTGTTAATAAAATTTTGACCAACTTCATTTTCTATCCAATAAATGTTTCTGTTTATATAATCGACAGAAATGCTTGAGATGTTTTCCAAATTGTTGAAAATATAGATATTGTGACTAAAAAGGGATGAGATGTATTTTTGAACTTAGCTATTAGTTTTAGTATTAAGTCATCAGTATAAATTTAGTATTATATAAAGTTAACAATATAAAATAGCATGATGTGATAAGAAAAAAATGAATAATATTAAAGTACGCATTTTTTAGTTATAATGTTAAGAACAGTTTTCTTAACTTTTCAAAAAAACTCAAGTATCGAAAAAATTTGGTTTCATCAGGGTGTCGGTGTCAGATGAAAATTTGTCCGACTCCTCCTCCGACTTTTAGGCTGAAAATTTTTCCAACATAAATTTCCTGAAAAATTTTCAGACTTCCGTCTCCGGTATTTGACACCAAAATAATTTCTTAAAATGTTTAAAAAATACCACCATCAAAATCAGTTAGTACACTTTTTTGATGTTTTTCTTTATATTTTAATTTATATATTGAACAAAACTAAAAATCAACTTATTAAAACAATAATTTTGCAATTTCGTTCACTTATAAAAGATATGCAAATATTTTATTTTTCAAATTTCCCAAGAAAACCAAAAGGAAAAGTGCAGATTTACATTTACAGAAAAGATAATGTAAAGCTGCACTTTCAACGAATTTTAGATTTTATGAAGTGTTAAATATTGGGATTTCTTGTTGTACATTTATGTTTATAAATTTTCTAATGCATAATAAACTTTCACGCTGCGGCTACTTTCCAACGCGAGTTTGTAAAAAAAAAGTATTAGTGCTCTACCAACAACGCTTACATTTGGGAATTAATCTTGAAGTTGGTCTAATTGGCTTTACATAAATTTCCATGCTAATATCTCACTATGTCAAATTTAGAAGATATGAATGAATAGCGTACAAAATCGCCAAGATCATTCTTCTCATATTGAACTTATTTGTGAAATAAAGCACTTAGTTATGTTTAGATGCTGCATGTAACTTACACACAAATGATGATTTGAACAGTTCAGGTGGTTTAATGTTCGAACTTAAATTAAATATTAAATCTATTTGAATTTGTTTTAATCTACGCAGGATATTAATTGATGAAAAAATTACAAAACCATTAAACCTTAGAGATATCAAGAAAATAGAATCTGTTAAAAATGTGTATAAAACATTTAAACCACAAAATTGTTAAACCACAAATTAGTTATGCGTCGTATAGTTCCAAGCGAAAAATTATGATAGCCTACTGTGGATCATTTTTTATCCAATAACCATGCGGATGAAAGATAATATATAAAAAATATTTATGGCATTAAATTAAAATTTTTTTATAAATAATTAAAAACTTTGTCAAAAAAGTACAAAAATTTTTTAGATTTTTGATTCAGCCACAGCTTTTTTCTATATCTATACAAAAAATTGGTTGCTTAATGCGTTTTGTAACATCTATTAAAACTATTAAAAACGATATTGAAAAAACATGTTTAGAACATAAATAAAAATGAGTTTAAATTGTTAAAATTTATTTTGAAGATTTGTTTAAAAGTTCTGATTCCTGCATAAAATATACCACTCCAATCGATTCTGACTCCAACTCCAACACCCTGTTATTTTAATTCTTACTTAGTTAGTGTTTCAAGGTGAATAAGTCCAATGACTCCATTTTTTTCATCATCAGAGGCACGTGCCAAATGATCGGAGAAATAAAGTGAATTAGTGACAGGGTCATAAGATAATGAGGTCAGCCAGTTAAAATGAACGTTACTAATCTGTTCGGTGGGTTTTGATGTTCCACTAAACATCACTCTTGTTAAGACTCGGTTATCTGCCAGCAATATAGTTGCTGAGTTCACGTCAGCTGAGGTTTTATCAATTTATATACTGATCAATTATGAACGACATTTGCAAAAGTAATTCTATCAATGATAATAATGATAATAATAATTATTATTTATTTATAATTTTAATTATTGCTGTAGCAGAAAATACTCGTTTACATATGCTCTTTGATATATTAGTATCAAACAAAAAATATTGTACAAATTTATTTGAAGTTCATATAAACTACAAATGACGCATTAAAGTTATCAAAAAAGAATTATAGATTTTTTAATGATTCACTTGTTCAACAATATACACAAATTTCATAATTTTTGTATGTTTGAATCAACTACAAATAACAATAAATAAATGAACGAATTTTGTTTTAAAGACAACTGACTAAATTAATATAATCTAACTTGAAAAATTTAATACATTTTTTTTATATGTTTTTAAATAATTTATAAAGGTTTGACTTTATTATATTTTTAGACAAAAATAAGAAAAAAACATTTTTTTCTTGTGCTATGGCAGGACCGGATTAAGCCATCAGCGGCCGCAGAATAAAATTTCAAAGCTTGACTCACATTTAAAAAAATTTATTACTGAAACAAATTTTTCTTATTTAATGACAACAAACTTTTTTTATTATTTATTATTTAGTGGTAGGTGCAAAAATGTAATTCCCGGTGTCAAGACAGGTAATGGTAACCAGACCCATTAGAAGTTTTGGATTTTTTGTTCATCGGTTTTAGAAAACTCACGTCTAATATGCTATAATTGATGCATTCTACGGTAGCTGAATATTAGCGATTGATTTGATATAAAGATGCGTAGCATGACATGCAGGGTATCAATACCACTGCGGTAAAAAATAAAATGTTATGTCGATTAATTCATTTTGTTTTTTTTTAAATTAATGAAATCTATCTAACACAAAACTTAATATTTCTAAGACGATGCTAATAAAAGTTAAAAAATAATGATAACCTTGAAGATCCTATCCATAAACTTACTGGTGAATACTCACCGGACTATCAATATGGAAACATAAAGACCCCTAAAAAAAATAATCCCCTCCGTCCAATTATCAGCTAGATCCCAACTGTCACTTAATCTATTGCCAAATATCTGAACAAAATATTGTCACTATACGCTTCAAATGATTAAAATCTACAGACATCTAGAGAATTTTTTAATATAATTAGCGACAACAATCCTACCAAACAAATAGCCTCACTTGACGCAGTATCCCTATTCACAAATATACCCGTTCTATTTTTTATACTCTTAATAAATTTAAAATAATTTTTTTACAGAATATGAAAACAATAAGACCTTACCAGTTTTGGATGCGCTTATCATTCGAGATGGAAACTGCTTCACTATGTGAAAGAGACGAATATCTAAATAAATAACTGAGTGCACTGAACAATATAAACGCAGCCTAATAAAAGCTTTTGTAAATAGAGCATTCACACACTCTACTTCACTGAGCGACAACGAAACAGAATTAATTAGAATCACCAAAGTTCAAGTCAAGAACAACTAAAAAACAGCTACCAGCCATCAACCGTAAACTACAACTTTTCAAGAACAACAACAAACAAAGCGGGGATATAATTTTCTACTACCGAAAATTACATGTCATCTGCATTTAAAACAGACGAATCTGTTCTAAAGAAAATTATATTCAAAAACGTGAAGCTTAGAAATATAGATGATAAATTTAAATCTGAAAATTCATTAACAAAATGCAAAAAACGGCAAACCTAACAATAAAATAAAAAATAATTGCACGCTTCACCAAAATTTAACTCTGAAAAGAAGTTATCTTAATATATAAGTTTAAATGCCCTTTTGACGGATGCACTCGTCAGCAACACTCATATATTAGTTTGACAACTAAATACCTATCACGTCGCCTTACAATGCAAAAAAGAAGGAGCCATTACAACTCATCTAGAATGATTCCCTCACAAGAAATATCTAGTAATAAACAATACTAGTATAATATACAGTAACAAGCACCACACCCAACTAAGAATTGACGCATTGATCTTCATTGACCAAAGACAACCGCAAATTAACAAGCTGCAAAGAATGGAACATTATTAACAACCATAAGAATGTTATTGAAAAATTCTACAAAAAGAATGAACAGGACAAAGATATAAAAAATGGGCAGAACAAAGAAGAATAAAACCACTTTGTACACAGAGAGAATTGTAAAACTTATTTTATACTTCCATATTAATATTACCATTTCTATCACTATTTATACTTTTTTTTCTATATTTTCATTAACCCAGCCTTGTAGTTGGCAACAACTACATGCCGGTCCCAAGCCCGGATAAATTGGGGGGGGGTGAGGAAAGAAATAGCAAACTACCTCACTATTTTACTGAAATCCATTATGGATCAGTACAATCAATTAAGTTCAGATATGGTGCTGGAAAGTGAGACCCCTGGGCTGGAAAGCACCTATCATATTACCAGGGATGAACGTGAACGTTTTTCAAGTAGCGAAGGCATCTATGACGTAGACGGGACAAATCCATCAGGACTCCCGCCTGCTGATGTGGCTCCGAGCAAAAGGAAACATCTACGTTTTACAACAACTATTCACAATATCGGCACATAGAATGTTCGTGGCATGAACATAGGCAAACTCGAAATCATCAAGCAAGAAATGCAACGACTTCATATCGATCTGTTGGACATCAGCGAGCTTCACTGGACGGGTAATGGATATTTCAAAAGCGATGAATACACCGTCGTCTACTCTGGAAACGACACCATCAAACGCAATGAAGTGGCATTCATCGCAACAAAAGCAGTTAGCAAAGCCGTATACTCTTTTAACATTGCTAGCGATCGAATTATATCCATACGCATCACTGGAAGCCCCCGCTCAATCACGGTTCTACAAGCATATGCACCAACAGCAGATGCACTAGAGAAAGACATCAAAGATTTCTATACCAAACTCCAAGAGACATCGACCAGATCCCAGCTCGTGACATAATCTTTGTAATGGGAGATTTTAATGCGAAAGTCGGATCAAGTGAAGATTTGCCTGTCGTCGGCAAATTTGGTCTTGGTGAACAAAATGACGCAGGAGACCGCCTGATCCAATGCGCCGCTTTGACACAGACAACATCCCCACTTAATACGCAGTAGAAATAAAGAACAGATTTGAGGCATTCAGCGATTTCAATGAAGAGCCTGATAAAATGTGGGAGGAAATCAAATCGATCGTGGGAAAAACAGCAGAGGAAATCATCCCGTTCAAGAAATCAATGAAAAGATCGAAGTGGCTGACGGACGAAGCAATCAAGATTGCCGAGCATCGTCGCATGCCAAGGCAAAGGGGAAATCCATCAATCCAACTGGTTTTTCATCGAGGAATTCCGACTACTCAATGCGGCGTTCCAAAAAAGGGCCAGGGCGTACCAGAGCACATTGAACAACTGATGCAAACACTGTACTCCAATCAGGCAGCAACTATCAGAACATCGTATGGTAACACCGATTGGTTCAAAATCGGTTAAGGCGTCAGGCAGGGATGCATTTTTCCCCAGCTCTGTTTAACCTGTATGCCGAAACCATCATGCGACGATGCAATCTGAACGAGACCACAATCAGAGTCCAACTTGGAGGTAGGACTATCAACAACCTGCGATATGCGGATGACACAACTATACTCGCAAAAAGTGAGAAAGACCTGAAATACTTGATCCAACGAGTTCAAGAGGAAAGTGAACGCATGGGACTGTACCTCAACATCAAGAAAACGAAAGTAATGACAACGGCATGCAATAATGCAGTAAACATCAAGATCAACAATGAACAGATCGAGACAGTACAAGATTTCATTTTCCTGGGAGCCAAAATTGACCGAAACGGCAAATCTGGACCAGAGATCAAAAGGCGGATTGCAATGCAAGGAATAGATAAAATCTGGAGGAGCAAGGATGTGAGCATTGCAACGAAAACGAGACTCGTCAACGCCATTGTCTTTCCCATAGCAATTTATGGATGTGAAAGTTGGCCAATCAAGAAAGCGGAAAGAAGAAGGATCGACGAACTTTGGTGTTGGAGAAGACTACTGCGTATCCCCTGGACATCGCGAACAACAAATAAGACGGTCTTGGATCGTATCAAGCCAAAAATGTCGCTTGAGGGCAAAATTGTCAAACAACAACTTTCCTTTTTCGGTCATGTTATGCGCGCAAATTCGTAGGAAACTTCAATGATGCTAGGTAAAGTGAGTGGGACAAGAAGAAAAGGACGGCACAGAATACGTTGGCTTGATACAATCACATCGGCCACCAAAATGACGATCTCAGAACTTAAAATAATCGTCGAGGACAGGAACGAATGGAGAAGACAGATCCATGAAGTGGCCGAAAGTCGACTTTGACTAAATGGCTAATCATCATCATCATCATAATCATCATATTTTCATTTCATCTACATATCAACACCAATATTTTTAAATGTTATTTTATTTTACTGCAACTAAATGCAAATTATAATTATTATATTTATAATTTATTTTTATCGCTTCATACCTGGCATGTTGTTACATTCTCTGCGTTTGGCAGAGTTTGATTTACAGACTAAAAAAAAAAACTATAAATTTTTGTTTCATTAGATGTGCGCTTTTTCAACATTATTGTGAGAAACTGTAGTCAATAGGTTGCAAAAAGTATTTTGATCAAAAAGTACTTGAACATGAGATCCCATCAGCTGATAGAATTTTTCCAGGTTTACATTTGCATTTCGCTTCATTCTCATTAGTTACTTCACATAAGTCGCTGCAAACAGGTTTTAGTAAGCCATTCTTGTGATGGTAGCAAGGGGAGCGGTCTTCATTTTAATGACAATATATTAAGGATAAAAAAAAGTGTTACAAACAAAAAATTATTTAAAAGCAAAATATTAAAAATAACAAAATTGTACAAAATGTTGAATAAAAAATAAATTGTTCATGATTGTAACTTTTTTACTATACAGGTTTCTTTTATCAAAAACTACGTAAATGACTTGCACAAATGAATAAACGCACGCAACTTGATTGTAACTATATATATATATATATATTTTGGGACGTATATATATATATATACGTCCCAATATATATATATATATATATATATGTATATATATATATATAGCGCTGTCTTGACTGTATCCAGGTAAACATGACTCCTAAATGTGCGAAGTGTTTAGGCAGTACAAATGTGAAAGATAAGGATAGCGTATTACGTTGCAGTCGTTGTGATATTGTCGTACATGTAAAGTGTATTTTTACTAATGATAGTTTACTTGACGTTTTGAAAAACTGCAGTGGTCTGAATTGGTTCTGTGATAGTTGTGTGAAGTTCCGTTCAACTTAGATTCACTCTCAAAATCAGTTGATGCTTGAAAAATGAGGGGATAACAAGACTTGAGAAACTGGATGAAGTCAACACTCAGGTTTGATCAGAAATAGTCAGTTTAAAAATGTTGATAACTTCGAACGAAAATAAATTAGTTAATATTGATCGCACAGATACTTCAATTCGTCATGACATCAAGAGTTTAAAGCAAGAAATAAGTGCAACATTTTGCCTGGCCTACTTAATATAAGATCTGTCAACTCAAAGTCTGATATTATTTACGAATTAATCCAAGAGGGTTTGGACATCTTTGTTTTAGTGGAAACATGGCATGGTTCAACGGACATTATTTCAGTAAAACCATCTATACCATCAGGATATCGTTATGTTGATTTTTTTAGATTAAATGATCCGCGGCATGGAGGAATAATTGTAGTTTTTAGATCAAACTTTAAATAGAAATTAATTGAACTACCTGTTCTAACAACGTTCGAGGCTGTAGCTATTAAAATGATCGTAAATAATAAAGACTTTGTTTTATTGGCGTTATACCGACCAGGTTCGGCTCAAGTCAGTTCTACATTTTTCGATGAACTCATATGTGTTTTGGAAAATATTACAATTTTAAGTTTGAATGTTAAGTTAGTTGGTGATTTTAACATACACGTTGAAATAAACAAAGATCGACATACCGTTAATCTGATTGAAGTGTTTGAAATGTTCCAATTAACAAATTACATCAATGAGTCAACACATGTTCTTGGTGGTACACTTGATTTAGTAGTTACTTCACACAATTTTGAAGTTACAAATATCAGGTTATTCCCTTGTGGAGTTTACTCAGATCATAGCTTGATACATGTTGACATACCGATAACTCGAGCATGTAATAACAAAACTTCAAGATTGGCTAGGTAATGGAAACGTATTGATGAAAATATACTGACCATGCATGTTATGAATTTACCACTGCATCAACCTTGTCAAAGTCGAGATGTAAATCGTGAATTTGATGTTTTAAATAACGAAATGAGAAAGATTGCTGACAAAATTGCGCCTCTCCGGTTTATCGAGCATAGAAGTGATCTTATGGCTCCGTGGTTTGATGATGAGTGTAGAGCAGCTAAAAGATACTGTCGAAGTAAAGAAAGGAAATACAGATGTTGTTTGTCATCAGTGAGTCGAAATGAATGGATTGCTTCTTTGAAAAATAAAACCAAATTATTTTCAATAAAAAGAAATGATTACTGGAAAACGTTGATTGCTGATAGTAATGGTGATTCAAAGAGTCTATGGAACGTAGTAAACAAAATTCTTTGTAAAGGTTAGCTTACTTTATTATAATGTTGACATCACGGCTTCTCAATTTATGGGTTTTTTTCAAGAAAAGACCGATCGGATCAAACATACTATCAGTATTAACGAAAAACCTACTTTTGACAGATGTAGGCTTACCGAAAATTGTCTGCTCACAAATTTTGCTGTCGTTGAGGAACTAGACATAAAGAAAATTGTGCTTGGTCTACCGGCCAAAACCTGTATGTTAGATGTTTTTCCTACTCATGTGCTTAAAAAACATATAAATATTTTTCTTGTTTTTCTTGCAAGCCTTATTAACTTATGTTTGCAAGATGGAGTATTTCCGAATAAATGTAAGCACGCAGTTATTACACCTGTCTTGAAAGAAACGAAAAATGATAGGAATGAAATGAAAAGTTACAGACCCGTATCAAACATTTGCTTCGTTTCCAAAGTTATTGAACGAGTTGTTGCCAGTCAACTACCGAGTCATCTACACAAAAATAGCTTAATACCAGTATTTCAATCTGGATATAAACGTTATCACTCAACTAAAACAGCACTGCTGTATGCTGTATGAGTTGTTTAATGCAATTGATAAACAATATGTTTCGTTGCTTACATTCTTGGACATGAGTGCTGCCTTTGATTTCGTAGACCATCAAATCTTGATGAATCGCCTACAATACGATTACGGAGTTACTGGAGTTGTAGCTAATTGGTTCAATTTTTACTTGTTTGGCAGAACTCAGCAGGTTTTTTTCGGGAACAATTTATCTGGTATTGAAGCAATGTCATCTGGTGTACCCCAAGGCTCATTCCTGGGACCTATTCTGTTTGTACTGTACACTGCTGAAGTACATGAAGTAATAGAATCTTTTGGATTTTCATATCATGCGTACGCTGATGACATCCAAATAATAGTTAGCAGTGAACCAGAACTGTTTAAAAATAACAGTGACAACTACTCAACTACAAACTGCAACTAGAAATATTGCCGTGTCAGAACCAATTGTCTGGAACAGTCTTCCGCAATTGCTCAGAATGCCTGGCCTAAAGCTTGATGATTTAAAGAGGAACTTAAAAACCTATTTATTTTGACATAGAAATACTTTATCGATTTGTATTTTATTGACCTTCACTGATTTCATTTATAAAAGAGAGCGCTTTTGAGAAATTTTAATTTTATAATGCGCTTAATAAACTGTTGATAATAATAATAATTTATATATTGGGTTTAGACTATCATAAATACAATTATTTATAAAGATCACTGCGTTTTCGGCATTTTTCAACTTGTAGTTGAGTTTCTCAATTTTTCTAATCATCTTTTATCATCTTG